TTGGCGTGATACTGGCCCTTTGCACCTCCCCTGCTGTGGCTGCCAGAGTGTTTCGATGATCTGCATCAATACTCACTCAGCACTACACCAACAAGCAAAAGAGTGGAGCCGAAAGCCTTTGAAAGTATGAAGATAACCAAGGACAAGCTCTGCGCTACCATGCAAAAGTTGAGGACAGGGCTCTGTTGGCGTCCGAAACCTTGCCAGCTGCGCTCACAAAAATCAGTTTCGGTGCACGTAGTCGAACTGATTAGATCGTTTCCGTTCCAGCAGACACCACAAGGACCAGCAGAGGGCAGCTGCAGAGGACGGCTGCATCATCGACAAATCGCAGCGCAAGCTGACTATAGTCTTGAAGAGACACACAGACTGTCCGTAGTACCGCGGGCAACGTTTAATGCAACGTCAATGGTGCCTTTCGAATTGTGTCGAGGATGTGAAGTGGAAGATGCAGTACAAGCAAATCACGTCGTGCACAATCGCTCCGCCAATCTAGACAAAAATGCGCGAAGACTAGATTTTCACGTTATCCAGTCTTCCGTCAACGGTACCAGAGCGAGCGGCCGCCATCAATGAACTGGGAAACATACATGAATGATCAGGTCTGCCCGGTCAGCTTCTCCCGGCAGAGATCAGAGTTGCCAACCGTGGGCACAACATAGCGAGAAAATACAACATCTTCCCGCTCCGAAATTTGATACTTGGCGTACGCGCTACGAAGGTCGTGACACAGAACGTGATGCAGACTTCAAGTACTCAATGAAAGCACCTGACGAGAGGGATTTACATACATCTCACATCTTGATGACGATTGCCAAAAGCCACAGTCCGAGCGCTACCTCAGCCGAACCCACCTTGTGAAACTTCCCAACCGATGATACCTGCTCCTCGTCATTGCTTGATCGTGTGTCTGTGTCTCGACTGATTTTGTTGTGTGCGGTAATTGGCCATTATTTGACGCCCAAAAAGGACGAACCGTGGGTAGAAAGTTAAGCAACGATTGAATCGTAAAGTACAAACTCCCCGCCTCGATCTCTTGCATGAGAGCAGACCGGGACTGCCCTGAGAAGGTTGTTAACCCGTGGTCTATTGGATCGCAAAGCACAAATCTCTCGCCACGACTTCTTGCTTGAGAGCAGATGGCTGAGGCCATGTCTGCAGGGCAAGGACTCAATTCTTTTTGAAGTCTTGCGTAAGCGCTAGCAACAGAACACGTTTGAGCCATGAGTTTGGGGTGGTGTGAAGAGTCTACAGAGTAAATATGCGATCGCGTGACAGTTGTCAGAAAAGAAAGGCAGACCACTTGACTTGTAATTTAAGGACAAGTAGAGTACTACTTACGCCAAAATCGCGCTGTGCGTTGGCTTGTTTCTCAGGGAGAACGTAGTGATACTGGATGACTGAATGAAGCTTCCCCTTAGTGAGAGATATTTGATTGAGCTTGCGCTTCCAATCAAGTGGTTGTTACCATTCAACTGCTTCAGATGGTGGAGTCACTTGTGCGTTCCATGAACTTGACATCGTTGCAGAGTCTCAAGAGAACACACCACCAAAAATTGAGGCACGACCCCGGACTTTCTTTCACAGCGCTTTTTATCGCTTGCTGCACGCAGGGAGGATTTTTGACTCGACAATAATTGCGACTCTCGCGACAGCAGTAGCGATACTTCTCAAAGCTTCTGTGCTGTTCGATTTTGCTACGAGATTCTTTGCAAGGCCGCTTGCTTGTGATTGAGTGATGCCAGCGACATTCCATCTGCAAATCCTCAGGCAACAGTCGTAGGCAACATCGTCGTGCGCTATCTCGCCAAAGACAGATTTGAACACACAGCCACGCTTGATCTCTGCTTTCGGGATTTTTGACGCGTACTCAGACTCGGCAGAGGTCAAAACTTGGCTTCTTCACTTTAGACACAACTGAGCCAAGGTGTCTGTTCATCTTTTCTGCTCTCGTAAATATGTCATTGAACACATTGCATGAATTTGACAGCAGTCATTGAATATGCTAAAACGGCAGTCTTGATGTGTTTCTGACGTTGGCACACTTTTGAGGCTTGCACATTGGCGATGCGGTCAAATTATTGGCCAACAGCATGCGGCGAGCTGGATATCAGTGTAGGTGGCACCCACCGTGTGCCACCCCAAAGCGCGGCGATAAAGGTGTGTCGGGCAGAGTTGCAACGCATGCTGATAAGATGCTTGGTTCCCAACACGTGGGCCACGTCTTTTCAGCCTTTCGACCAAAGCAGCGCCGCGTGTAAGACCTGTCTGCCTGGTGCAGGGACACGGCCAATCAGCTGCGACAGGCACGAGTTCATAGCAGACAGAGTCCCCATCAGAGCACACGTGTTGCACTCCACGATGGAGACCCCAGTAGTGCGAGCAGAAGGCTTTTGCAGGGGGAATCGAGATGGGCCAGCAGGAGCAGTAAAAGGCGCAGGCGCAGCGATCAGACTTTTTGCGCTAGCCTTTTGGCTCGGCATCTGAGCATCGACACTGGGGCCCGCTTCATCTGGAAAGGTTTTTTTTTTCCCGCATCCCTACCACGACATTGTCAGCTATGTCCTTGATATGGACTTTGCTGCTTGTCTGGCGGATGGGAAGGACTTGGCAAGGTCACAGATGCGCATATACCCTGACTCTCACTTCTCTCTGGCTTACCAGTGATGCCAAGGGGTCTCAGTCCTTTTGAACGTTGTAGCCAGTGTCATGGCACCAACTTAACGGGTACATTTTACAGCTGCAGCAAGCGACACCGTGCCGGAGCAGGACGTCACCTCATATTGGTCATTGGCCAGACAAGCACTGGCACCGCTACTCTGCGCGCACACACGGACGTCCGTGTGGCGAGCGGCAGGCCCAAGCGGTGGGGCAAGCCACAAAGGGAACACAAAAGCACAGATGAGCTTAGAGCTAAGATGGTGATGTTGCAGTATCACGCGACAGCTACTTTGGTTCTTTGTCAAGAAGGACTGGCTGATGGTGACCAGTGCTTTGGCATGGTCCAACTTGAGCTTGGTCACCTGGCGGCTCAGCTTGAGCTCTGCTGCCTGGCGCTTGTACTTTTTGCTTCTTGGTGTCCTTGAGTGTGATACCAGTCCTGAGGCAATAGGCCCTCTTAACCTTGCAAGCAGCTTTCATGCATGCAAGCTCCTGTTGGGCTGGGAAAGCAAACGAGTAACACATGTCTCTTTGCCATTGTGCCTTGTCTCCTGATCTGGGAGCTCGATCTGCAATGACAAGGAGGAGATTTTTGCCAAGTTTTTTGACACTTAGTTTGCGTTCCAAATAAGGCAAACACAAGCCTCTGGACCGCATCAGGCAACAGACAGCAATTGCTGTGCCTGGCCATGCAACAAAAGCCACACAATTGCAGTTTGGGTCTCATGGCAGGTGCTATCCCTCTTCTGCCCCGCAACAAATGTCGAATGTCCACGCGCGCTTGAACGTAGGGGCAGAGACACATAAACGGTGACAGTAGGGCTTTATTCTTGTCCTGTGCAGGGACAAATTCGACTAAATTACATTTAGTCGGCGGATGCGTGTGGGGCATCAGGGCTCATGAAGCGGAG